CACGGGTCCAAGCGGACTCTTCATGATAACACAACACGGGTCCAAACGGACTCTTCATGATAACACAACACGGGTCTAAGCGGACTCTCCATGACAACACAACACGGGTCCAAACGGACTCTTCATGATAACACAACACGGGTCCAAGCGGACTCTTCATGATAACACAACACGGGTCCAAGCGGACTCTCCATGATAACACAACACGGGTCCAAGCGGACTCTCCATGATAACACAACAACGGGTCCCAAACGGACTCTTCATGATAACACAACACGGGGTCCAAGCGGACTCTTCATGATAACACAACACCGGGTCCAAGCGGACTCTTCATGATACACAAACACGGGTCCAAACGGACTCTTCATGATAAACACAACACGGGTCCAAAACGGACTCTCCATGATAACACAACACGGGTCCAAGCGGACTCTTCATGATAACACAACACGGGTCCCAAACGGACTCTTCATGATAACACAACACGGGTCCAATCAGACTCTCCATGATAACACAACACGGGTCCAAGCGGACTCTCCATGATAACACAACACGGGTCCAAGCGGACTCTTCATGATAACACAACACGGGTCCAAACGGACTCTTCATGATAACAAACACGGGTCCAAGCGGACTCTTCATGATAACACAACACGGGTCCAAGCGGACTCTCCATGATAACACAACACGGGTCCAAGCGGACTCTTAATGATAACACAAACCGGGTCCAAACGGACTCTTCATGATAACACAAACACGGGTCCAAGCGGACTCTTCATGATAACACAACACGGGTCCAAAGCGGGACTCTCCATGATAACACAACACGGGTCCGAGCGGACTCTTCATGATACACAACACGGGGTCCAAACGGGACTCTTCATGATAACACAACACGGGTCCAAACGGACTCTTCATGATACACAACACGGGTCCAAGCGGACTCTTCATGATAACACAAACACGGGTCCAAGCGGACTCTCATGATAACACAACACGGGTCCAAACGGACTCTTCATGATAACACAACACGGGTCCAAACGGACTCTTCATGATAACACAACACGGGTCCAAACTGACTCTCCATGATAACACAACACGGGTCCAAACGGACTACCTTCATGATAACACAACACAGGTCCAAACGGACTCTCCTGATAACACAACACGGGTCCAAACGGACTCTCCATGATAACACAACACGGGTCCAAACGGACTCTCCATGATAACACAACACGGGTCCAAGCGGGACTCTCCATGATAACACAAACACAGGGCCAAACGGACTCTCCATGATAACACAACACGGGTCCAAGCGGACTCTCCATGATAACACAACACGGGTCCAAACGGACTCTTCATGATAACACAACACGGGTCCAAACGGAATCTTCATGATAACACAACACGGGTTCAAGCGGACTCTTCTGATAACACAACACGGGTCCAAAACGGACTCTCCATGATAACACAACACTGGTCCAAGCGGACTCTTCATGATACACAACACGGGTCCAAGCGGACTCTCCATGATAACACACACGGGTCCAAGCGGACTCTTCATGATAACACAACACAGGTCCGAGCGGACTCTCCATGATAACAACAACACGGGTCCAACGGACTCTCCCATGATAACACAACACGGGTCCAAACGGACTCTCCATGATAACACAACACGGGTCCAAGCGGACTCTCCATGATAACACAACACGGGTCCAAGCGGACTCTCCATGATAACACAACACGGGTCCAAACGGACTCTTCATGATAACACAACACGGGTCCAAGCGGACTCTTCATGATAACACAACACGGGTCCAAGCGGACTCTCCATGATAACACAACACGGGTCCAAGCGGACTCTCCATGATAACACAACACGGGTCCAAGCGGACTCTCCATGATAACACAACACGGGTCCAAGCGGACTCTCCATGATAACACCAACACGGGTCCAAGCGGACTCTCCATGATAACCACAAACACGGGTCCAAGCGGACTATCATGATAACACAACACGGGTCCAAGCGGACTCTTCATGATAACACAACACGGGTCCAAGCGGACTCTTCATGATAACACAACACGGGTCCAAGCGGACTCTTCATGATAACACAACACGGGTCCAAACGGACTCTTCATGATAACACAACACGGGTCCAAACGGACTCTTCATGATAACACAACACGGGTCCAAACGGACTCTCCATGATAACACAACACGGGTCCAAACGGACTCTTCATGATAACACAACACAGGTCCAAACGGACTCTCCATGATAACACAACACGGGTCCAAACGGACTCTCCATGATAACACAACACGGGTCCAAACGGACTCTCCATGATAACACAACACGGGTCCAAGCGGACTCTCCATGATAACACAACACAGGTCCAAACGGACTCTTCATGATAACACAACACGGGTCCAAGCGGACTCTCCATGATAACACAACACGGGTCCAAACGGACTCTTCATGATAACACAACACGGGTCCAAACGGACTCTTCATGATAACACAACACGGGTTCAAGCGGACTCTTCATGATAACACAACACGGGTCCAAACGGACTCTCCATGATAACACAACACGGGTCCAAGCGGACTCTTCATGATAACACAACACGGGTCCAAGCGGACTCTCCATGATAACACAACACGGGTCCGAGCGGACTCTCCATGATAACACAACACAGGTCCGAGCGGACTCTCCATGATAACACAACACGGGTCCAAACGGACTCTCCATGATAACACAACACGGGTCCAAACGGACTCTCCATGATAACACAACACGGGTCCAAGCGGACTCTCCATGATAACACAACACGGGTCCAAGCGGACTCTCCATGATAACACAACACGGGTCCAAACGGACTCTTCATGATAACACAACACGAGTCCAAGCGGACTCTTCATGATAACACAACACGGGTCCAAGCGGACTCTCCATGATAACACAACACGGGTCCAAGCGGACTCTCCATGATAACACAACACGGGTCCAAGCGGACTCCCATGATAACACAACACGGGTCCAAGCGGACTCTCCATGATAACACAACACGGGTCCAAGCGGACTCTCCATGATAACACAACACGGGTCCAAGCGGACTCTCCATGATAACACAACACGGGTCCAAGCGGGACTCTCATGATAACACAACACGGGTCCAAACGGACTCTTCATGATAACACAACACGGGTCCAAACGGACTCTCCATGATAACACAACACGGGTCCAAGCGGACTCTCCATGATAACACAACACGGGTCCAAGCGGACTCTCCATGATAACACAACACGGGTCCAACGGACTCTTCATGATAACCACAACACGAGTCCAAGCGGACTCTTCATGATAACACAACACGGGTCCCAAGCGGACTCTCTCATGATAACACAACACGGGTCCAAGCGGACTCTCCATGATAACACAACACGGGTCCAAGCGGACTCTCCATCATCACACAACACGGGTCCAAGCGGACTCTCCATGATAACACAACACGGGTCCAAGCGGACTCTCCATGATAACACAACACGGGTCCAAGCGGACTCTCCATGATAACACAACACGGGTCCAAGCGGACTCTTCATGATAACACAACACGGGTCCAAACGGACTCTTCATGATAACACAACACGGGTCCAAACGGACTCTTCATGATAACACAACACGGGTCCAAACGGACTCTTCATGATAACACAACACGGGTCCAAACGGACTCTTCATGATAACACAACACGGGTCCAAACGGACTCTTCATGATAACACAACACGGGTCCAAGCGGACTCTCCATGATAACACAACACGGGTCCAAGCGGACTCTTCATGATAACACAACACGGGTCCAAACGGACTCTTCATGATAACACAACACGGGTCCAAACGGACTCTTCATGATAACACAACACGGGTCCAAACGGACTCTTCATGATAACACAACACGGGTCCAAACGGACTCTCCATGATAACACAACACGGGTCCAAACGGACTCTCCATGATAACACAACACGGGTCCAAACGGACTCTCCATGATAACACAACACGGGTCCAAGCGGACTCTCCATGATAACACAACACGGGTCCAAGCGGACTCTTCATGATAACACAACACGGGTCCAAGCGGACTCTCCATGATAACACAACACGGGTCCAAACGGACTCTCCATGATAACACAACACGGGTCCAAGCGGACTCTCCATGATAACACAACACGGGTCCAAACGGACTCTCCATGATAACACAACACGGGTCCAAGCGGACTCTCCATGATAACACAACACGGGTCCAAGCGGACTCTTCATGATAACACAACACGGGTCCGAGCGGACTCTCCATGATAACACAACACGGGTCCGAGCGGACTCTTCATGATAACACAACACGGGTCCAAACGGACTCTTCATGATAACACAACACGGGTCCAAACGGACTCTTCATGATAACACAACACGGGTCCAAGCGGACTCTTCATGATAACACAACACGGGTCCAAACGGACTCTTCATGATAACACAACACGGGTCTAAAGCCACAAAGAGCAACATTTATTTACAAAAACACAATAAAAGGCGACACAGGAAGCTGCTTGATGTGCTAGATCCCGCCCACATCTTCACTCAGGAGCTGTCAATCAATCATCAGAGACCTGCAGCTAGAACACAAACGCACAGAACGGAGACTCAAGCCAAACACAGAATCACATCCCATAATAGGACTTTCTTTCATATTTTCGGTTTATTATACTATTAGACTGATTTGGGAGATTTTCTACTATGACTTTTTGTAGAAAATCGTTGAAATGTTCTGAAGTTTTGGACACATATTAATTTCTTTTGAAGTTTTGGACATTATTTGTCAACGAAAACTGCATAACAACAGATAGGAAGAGATGAGTCTAAACTCTGCATGTTTTTCTATTTGAATGAAAAGCTACTCCTCAGTTCCTGCTGTGTCTGAAATCCCTGGTCCTTGTCTTGCAGGCTGCGAACACGCCCACCTCCTGAGCTTCAGGCATCCATTCTCTGCAGAGGAACGCCCGCTTCATCATCACTAAACTAAACGGTGACAAAAAAAAATAAAATCCAGTTTTTGGTTTGAACTGGTGTCGAAGCACGGGATGGACTTTTGCCTTAAGGAGCCTTCACTGACTGACCAATAGAAACCACTGCCGGGGGGTCAGAGGTCAACGAGCCGTCCTGTGATTGGATGTCCGTCCTCACAACCAGACGACTCGGTGTAACTGAGTCAGCAGTTTTTTCATTTGTACGTGTTTTTTTAATCTCAGGAGTCGCTGAACAACCAGCAAAACAAACTTCACCCATAACGCGCTCGTTTTGTTTCCGTCGATAGCGTTCACGTCCGCTTCATCGTGACAAACTGCCGACACGTGGATTATTCTAAAACATGAGTTATTATTAAAGACTGCCTGCCAGGACCGAACCACGGAGGAACCCGTTCCACGGAGGAACCCGTTCCACGGGGGAACCCGTTCCACGGAGGAACCCGTTCCACGGAGGAACCTGTTCCACGGGGGAACCCGTTCCACGGGGGAACCCGTTCCACGGAGGAACCCGTTCCACGGGGGAACCCGTTCCACGGAGGAACCCGTTCCACGGGGGAACCTGTTCCACGGAGAGGAGGCACCGTTTCGTTCAAGCTGCTTTTCAAATGATTGCTGTTTTTTTATTTTATTAAATCACTAAACCGTTTCCACCCTGGTCCGACACGTCGCCTCATCACAACGTGTTCTGGAAATGTTTTGCTGCAGATCTTCGAGAAGCGTTTTTTGTTGCGCCCGGACTATTTTTTCTCGTCGTTAAATGTCTGAATGTTTTGCACAAAATGTCGTTGAAGTTTTTTTAATTGATTGCCGTTTTTTGTTTAAAACACTAAAAACATTCTCACCCTGGTTCGAGACGAAGCCGAATCACAACTTTTTGCTGCAGATTTTGAGCTTCTTAAAGCGACGGGACTACTTTTCTCGCCCCGTTAAACGTCTGAATGTTTGCTGGGTCTGCACAAGAACTAAAGGGCACAAAAACACTGGAGGGGAAGGGTCTACTTTCCGTGAAACGCCTCATGCTGCCGTCCCGTCGCTGTCGGGCGTCGAGGTTACAGACTGCGATTGGTCGTAGAGCTGTTACAGACTGCGATTGGCCGTAGAGCTGATACAGACTGCGATTGGTCGTAGAGCTGTTACAGACTGCGATTGGTCGTAGAGCTGATACAGACTGCGATTGGTCGTAGAGCTGTTACAGACTGCGATTGGCCGTAGAGCTGATACAGACTGCGATTGGTCGTAGAGCTGTTACAGACTGCGATTGGTCGTAGAGCTGTTACAGCCTGCGATTGGTCGTAGAGCTGTTACAGCCTGCGATTGGTCGTAGAGCTGTTACAGACTGCGATTGGTCGTAGAGCTGTTACAGCCTGCGATTGGTCGTAGAGCTGTTACAGCCTGCGATTGGTCGTAGAGCTTTACAGACCTGCGATTGGTCGTAGAGCTGTACAGACTGCGATTGGTCGTAGAGCTGTTACAGACTGCCGATTGGTCGTAGGAGCTGTTACAGACTGCGATTGGTCGTAGAGCTGTTACAGACTGCGATTGGTCGTAGAGCTGTTAACAGACTGCGATTGTCTAGAGCTGTTACAGACTGCGATTGGTCGTAGAGCTGTTACAGCCTGCGATTGGTCGTAGAGCTGTTACAGCCTGCGATTGGGTCGTAGAGCTGTTACAGCTGCGATTGGTCCGTAGAGCTGTTACAGCCTGCGATTGGTCCGTAGAGCTGTTACAGACCTGCGATTGGTCGTAGAGCTGTTACAGACTGCGATTGGTCGTAGAGCTGTTACAGACTGCGATTGGTCGTAGAGCTGTTACAGACTGCGAATTGGTCGTAGAGCTGTTACAGACTGCGATTGGTCGTAGAGCTGTTACAGACTGCGATTGGTCGTAGAGCTGTTACAGACTGCGATTGGTCGTAGAGCTGTTACAGACTGCGATTGGTCGTAGAGCTGTTACAGACTGCGATTGGTCGTAGAGCTGTTACAGACTGCGATTGGTCGTAGAGCTGTTACAGACTGCGATTGGTCGTAGAGCTGTTACAGACTGCGATTGGTCGTAGATCTGTTACAGCCTGCGATTGGTCGTAGAGCTGTTACAGACTGCGATTGGTCGTAGAGCTGTAGTTTGTTTTTGCACTGGGACAGAAGGAAGAGGAGATCTTCCATGTCTTCGTAACGGAGGACTTTAGAGTCGCTGGACGTCCTGTTTGGTGACCAGAAGGATCCGACAGTCGCGCTGCCAAAACCAACCAGGAGTTATTATATCAGAAATATTCTGTCCATGAATTTGGGGAATGACAGAAACATATCTGCAGGCCGGCCCGAGCCTTCGTCGCTCAGCATCTTCTCGATCAAAGTAACAACTATCACGAGACAAAACTTAGTCCACGCTGTGATTCAAGAAAGTTCAAATATATAACGTTCAACACATCGTACAGTCTCTTCTTCTGTTACAGCGTTTACAACATCTTTGGAATAACACACATTTTTGTATTTAGCTCAAATTTATTATAAATGTACAAGAACATTAGTGGAATGGATACGAGAAGTTTCAACGCTATCACGAACATTTGGAATATTTGGTCAAATGG